CCGTGGGATTTCGTCTCGTAAGTCAACGGCACACCGCCACCACCACGGAAGCCCTAGAAACTAACCTCGGCTCGACTCTCTATCGATCCGAGCGGAAATCGCGCACCCTCGTTGCCTTTGGATATTGATTTGGTGCGAAGCCGTGGAGAGGAGGGGGAGAGGGCAAAAGGGGGCAGTCGCCAGCGCGCGAGCTCCTGAAACTTTCCATGCGTGCGATGGGGATGAAAGGAAAGTAACGAGCTGCGGCGCCCAGGCGATCGATGCCACGGGAGTTTTCCCGGGCCGATCGAACGACAACTTTTACATACGAGCAACGAACGAGTCGCGACCTCTGTGCCTCAAATTTCACTATTTCGCAGGCAGCCCCTACGCACCTACGACAAAAAAAATCAATTTTAGCTGGCTAGTCGAGGGCTTTCGCTGCACGCTCGCCTACATCCATCGTACCCACCCGTTATAAAATTTTCGAAAAGGCGGGGCAAACATACGTAAAGCCTCGACATGCCATTTGTGTCCCGTGCATTTGCGCGCATACTTGTTCTTGAAGCACCGGTGAATCGGCAGAATCGGGGTCGCGGATCGTTAAATGACAGAAGGTGGTGGAGGAGTAGGAGAAGAAGGAGATGCTTGATCGGTATTTCCTCGCGTCATCGAGCAACGGCAGAGCGTACAATTTTCTTTTGCCGATCCGACTCTCTTCCACGAGATTAGAGAGCACAATGCTCGGTTTTCTCGGTCCATGCTCGTTTCCTCGCACTGTTATCATTCGCGGATCTCGGGAAAACGCGCATTAGTGAGACGCGAGCGTGGGTAAACGCGATTTCTCCGCGACGAGCGAATTCTCTCCGCATCGAGCCGAGGCAGTTTCTTCATTGTTGAAGGCGTGTAGGGTCGGCTCCCGGCAGGAAATTGTTCTCCTCCCAGGGATGAGAAGTATCACGACGTAGCTTCGGGCTAACTTACCGTTCGCTTTCGAGTCACAGCCGTGGCGAAGTTCGCGGATGGCGCCGCATCTCCTTCCGGGTCGCCCACACGTATCACGCGCATACGTGACCTTAAATAAAAGCGAAGACGTCGTTCGTCTGCTGGTTGTCTAGCAGCTCCCGGCGATATCGAGGATATTCATTATTCGGTGGCTACCGCGAGAAGAGCAACAGCGCCTATTTACTAATAGATACGCGATGAGAAGGAAGTGGAGGAGGCAGTGACGACTTCTCCGGGCGGCGTAAGAGCGTCCAGCCTTTCTTCACTTTCGCAGAACGTGTGGAGTGTCTTCGCTCTCTCTCTCTCTCTCTCTCTCTCTCTCTCTCTCTCTCTCTCTCTCGGTCTCGGTCTCTTCCCTCGCTCGTTCTCTACCTCGTATTTCTGTCCCGCCCCCACTCCTGGTAAGCGCATATACCGTTGCTTTGGTTCCTTTTCTGCCTCGACAAAGTGAGGTTGAGAGGAATAAGAGAAAGATAAATATATAGAGATAGATAGATTGATGAGGATAGACGGACATGCAGACAGACAAACAGAGAGTGTGTGTGTGTGTGTGTGTGTGTGTGAGAGAGAGAGACTATGATAGACGGGGACTGAAAGCCAGCCAGACGAGCTCGGCGACAGAGATGATGGGGACAGCGAGGACGACGACGACAGTGACGATGATGACGATGTCAAAGTTCCCGTTACGAAATTTCTTCTGCGAATAAGCCAACGAGTGCTCGTCCAATCCTTTTCCTCGAGTCGCGCTACTGATTGCTGCCTCTCCGCCTCGCGAAACCAACGCCTTGGATAATAATTTAACCTCGAATGAGTTGACGAATGCGTTCTCTGAATGAGGAATCGTGCCGTCAGCGTGGCCAATAACGGCCGATATCGAGCATCTCTGCGGCCTTGAAATCATTCCGGTTTTCGTTATCGCACGCAATCTCGTTAAAACAATTATCACGACATTGCGGGAAAGAGGAGCCGATTGAATTTCACCTGCGCGCGCCTCATTATCCATTGCCGAAGCGAGCGATAAGAAATGGCGGCCGCCATTACACAATGAGTCGCGAGCTCATCCTTTGCATTCCTTATCCGCCTTACCGTTACGCGACACGATTCCCCGCCCGTACGCTCCTTATAGAGCTATCCCTGGTAGCTTTCGGCGGACCTCTTCGTGACGTAATACCGGCGCGCAGGCCAAAAGGACAAAACGAAAGGCAAGAAAGCGGAGAAAGGAAGGAAGGATAGGAAAAGAAAGGAAAGGAAAGGGGGAGTGGTGGAATGGCATTAATGTCGCAGGTGATAGGAGGACGTGCGCTATGCGAAATAATGAAAATACGATTGCGATCGCCGGAGGGCGAGGAAAAACGGTGAACGGGGAACGGGGAACGGGGAACGGAGAACCGGACGACGCGTGTCGTGCATTGGCGACTGTGGGGCCCGTGAGTGGACGAGGCGGGGGCAAAATTACATAAAAGGACAGGAGAGCCGAGCGATCGGCTTCACCTACGTCCTCTCAGGGTCGCCGCGAGATCTCGCCCACGGCCTCGGCTCGGCTCGGCTCGGCACGCTACACGCACTCCCGCGATTTCCGCTCGCCTCGGGCCTTTGTCGCAACCCCCGTCCCTTGTCACTTCCCCGACTCTTCGCCGAGTAGCTCCCAAGGAATGACGGGTACTGGGTCCCCAGCGGCTCCTCGGCAGGTCCCGTCCTCTCCTTAATGCCCGGCGCACTTCGCCTCACCCGTAATCCGACGCAGCGCGCTTTATGTGCCGCATTCTGACGGCCGAATACGTAAGAATAATTTGCACAACTTTTCGTGCTCGTGTAAGCGATTTTTCCCCGCTTGTCGCGCCTCCAATGTTTCTTGGCGCTTTTTCTAAGCGCAACCGACGGGGCACTCCCTCGCAATGGCCAAGCATCGAAACCAAATACTTCGGCGAAACCTGTCGGTGAAGTCATCGCGCATTTTAAATGGTTTTTTATTATACGGAGATGAATGGCAAATCGTATCTCACTAAATGCTCGCGCTTGTTTATTAAGATAGGATCTCGTTAATAAACTTTACAAACGAAACTTTTTATTAGTGTTTTTGTATAAGCGGACGACTGTCTCGGGTGAGGAAACTGAAAGAGGCTCATTGGATAGAATCCCCTTGATTTACTACGGCTCTCGCAAAATAGCCTATACATCTCTATATAGAAGATGAGGGACAAAAGTCGTACTTGGTCGGAACATGAAATACAATAAACTATTATGTTACAGCGACGACATTAGACTTGAAAATAGTTATCTCGTCAGCTGTTGTTCCTCATATCAGGGCATATAAAAACGTAAAAATAAAATAACGCTGGAAAAAAATAATTACTCAAACTCACGCGAGCCATTTTTTAAAGGCGCTTGATCAGTGTTTTTTCCTCGAGGAAATATCAATTAAAGCAGCGAATAGCGATGACGACATGATTGCGTAACCGAGGATATTTAAATTTCACGAATAACAAGAGTTAAAGCGTCGATGCCCCTCTCCCCTACCCCTACCCCCTCCACCATCACCCTCGCTCACCCACCGTCCATCCAACCTAGCTTAAGTAGAGGGCAGCATTTTCCGGTAACCAATACGACGTCATTACGTAACTCGGATAGGTAATTTTCCAATAAGAAGGTCCATTAGCATTTTCCTCGCTACTAAGCCGACACTCCTTATCGCTAGTCTTAATCGAAAAAAAAAAAAAACCCCCTCCCCCTCCCTCCTCCACGTACATGGATTAACGTCGTTGGCACACTGTGTCTATTACAGCTCGTGAAGACCTAGGGGAAGAAGAAGAGGAAAAAGTAGAGGAAAAAAAAGCGCTCCTATCATCGATAAACGACAATGCATGAATTCTCAACACATACCTATCCCCATCCAACGATGCGTCCTCACCCGAGAACTGCATTTCGTTGCGCGCGCGTCTATATATATGTATATGAGTATCCTCTCCCCGGAGAAACGCGAATCCGCTGACGGCGTCATTCCCCGGGCGTGCGAGAAATCGCACGAGGGGTTCGTTGAACCCTCCCGGGAATTCCACGGAGAAAGAGAGAAAGTAAACAGAGAGACAGCTGTAGGAAGGCATTGGACTCGCGAGAGCTGATAAGTCCCGTGTGCGCAGGTGCCTGGAGGAGTGAGAGAAAGAAAGAGAGAGAGAGAGAGAGAGAGAGACAGAGAGAGCGAGAGAGTGAGTGAGTGAGGGGGGAGGAAGATAGAGAGAGAGCGAGGACTCTGGAATTCCAGCTTGATTACAACGAACGACACACGCAGGCAGTCCGTATTATCGGTATTCATAAGATTGGGCTTGTTTAGCTTTTTCGTCGTCCCCTCTCCCTTCTTAGTAACTCGTGCGTGGCTCACCGGAACCGAAAACGTCCAGAACGAAATGCCTTCTGCGACGAGGCTGATACACACCGAGTACGCTCTTTCGCCCCCCCCCCCCCCAATGAACCACCCACGGGAGTCCACCGCGCCGATGTTGGTCTACGTTGGTCGGCGATGGTTAGCTCCTTCGTGCGTCCATTCGGGTGATGCAATCCAATCTTTATGAGGCCAATCGACAGCACACCGGTCAATCTTATGTTGACACGCGGTTATTCGCAGACTTTGCGAGTGATTACGCTGAAATTAGCGTGTCGGTGGTAGTTTGGACAATTGACCAGGCGGATTCGTTGGCGCGCGTTTCGCCTGCTTGGCGGCTCCCCGTCCATCTATTAAATTGAGTTTCTCACTCTGAAAATTGAAGGAGGCGAAGCTTTGTTTCGGCCCACTGGCTGTCCCGATGTAATAGCGAGTAATAAAGAAGGGCTTCGCATTAACATTCTTTAAATGTCCCACTGGAGGCGCACGTATGCTTTGACATGGGGGTGGCTGGGTGGGTGGTGGTGGTGGTGGGGGGGGGGGGGAGCGTGAGAGAACTTAGAATAATGATAATGTGATGAGAGAATGGAGACGAATCGTTGAAATAGCTATGCTAATGATTATATGATTTTTGTTGCAGATCACGTGGTAGGAGAACGTGATAAGAGCCGAGGGCAAATGAAGAGAAGAGCAGAGAAAATAACGAGACGTCCGAGAGAAGCTGAAGGAAAGTGAGAAAGCGGAGCAGAGCTTTCGAGAAGTAAGATAGCGAAACGAGAAAGAGAGGGAGAGAGAGAGAGAGAGAGAGAGAGAGAGAGAAGAAAAAAAGTAAAGCGAGAGAAGGTCCCATGTTAGCGGACATTAACGGTAACCTGGCGGATCTGAGAAGCGAAGCTGCGATGGCGTCGCAGAGGTTTTGTCTGCGCTGGAACAACCATCAGAGCAATTTGCTCTCGGTGTTCGATCAGCTCCTGCACGACGAGTCCTTCGTCGACGTGACGTTGGCCGTCGAGGGCCAGTTACTCAGGGCGCACAAGATGGTTTTGTCCGCCTGCAGTCCCTATTTTCAGGTAAGCGCCATCCTTCCTTATGTTTTTAAGGTATTACATTGACGTTGGCGGTGTGGATGTCGCCCCCTCCCCCTCCCACCTACCACACACATCACACACACACACACCACTCAACTCGGAGTTTTGAATGACCTGTCAGGGGTGCGCCGCCTGGTAGCCAAGGGATTTAACTTTTGAAATTATATGAACTCTCATATCAAAGTCGTGTTAAAGTTTACTTCACGATTAAGAATTTGTAGTGGTACGCGTACGCAAAACATTCGCGCCGTCTTTCTTTAAAGGCCAATCGTATTATTTTCTTATCGTCGAGTATCGGCTACATTGGAACCTGTTAAATTACAATTTTCATTAGGCCAAGTTATACGATTTGTATCTGAACGGGTAACGTTAAAAAGGAAAAATCAAAAAAAAAAAAAAAAAAAAAAATCTGCCTATTAAGTGGGCGCTTTGCAATTGCGATCGTGCGAGCATGAGAATTTGTTTTAAAGAGGCGCCGATTATTCATCATCGGGCAATAGCTGTTTCACTCTTTCGTTCCTTATGTGTATGACAATAATGAAATGCCTGAATCAGCTATGCTATTTGTTGAAAAGATGGCAGCATATTTTTCAACGGCACATCATATGTTTGTGTCCAAGCACTACCGAAGCAATACAAAGCCAAACTTTACTTCGTTCGAGGTAATTTTTATTTTTCCCCGATTCGTCAATTTTACAACTAATCTCACGTTTACACTATTGTTATTATTATCTTAAAATTATTTATCAAAGCTGTAAAGTACTGTATAAACTGGTAATAAGCTTAAATATTTAATATGTCGTTAAAAGCCCAAAGATCGCGTGGCTAACAATACAAAAAGAATTTCAAACACTGCATGATCTATTCTAGCGATAATTCTTTTTTTGTACCTACGTTTTCTAGAATGCCAGGTAAATTCTCTTCTTCTTCTTTTTTTCCTTTTTTTTTTTTTTTCAGAGCAATTGTTTGTAATCAAATGCTTTACCTCATATTACATAGTTATTGTGCAGCGATTGATCAAATAATAACAGATTTCAGGTCAAAATAATAAATTGCAGACGACGTAAAATAGTTTCTCCGTTGATAATGGAAGCAAACAACAACATGAAAGTTTAATATTTTTATCATAAATTTTACCATTCATTCGAGCATTTTCAATCAAGACCTTGATTTACTTCATTTAATTCATCTCGAGTCTTAAAAATTATGCTGACCGATACCCACTTAAAATAGTATATACATTGTCGCGAAGGGGAGAACATACTATTTACCTTCGCTCTTTATTGAAGCAAATGTAAATACTTAACCGGTAAAAGCCCAAACGACTAGACACAATTATGTGTCACAATTAATAGACTTTTGCGGGCATTTGAGAAAATAAGTTTGAGCAAGGGAGAACGTGGTAAGATATAATTGCTAAATAAAGTTTCTTAATCGGTGTAAAATGTCCCCGGTTTACCACGGCCTATGCTAATCCATCGAAAACTGCTTTCTATCAAAACATGGCGATTCATGGCACACCGTCAATTACAATATGATTGCGTAAGCGATTCCTCGTGAGTAGATGGTATTATTGTAATATTCGCTATTCGCTATAAAAATTAGTGACATTTGGGAATTTGGGTATGATATGCTCGTTCGGTAGGCACGGGCGTACTTAATCGCCGGGTATTAATGTCGGTATTCCATCACTAGGTGGCCATGCATTCGCTGAAACGCTATTGGCATATTCTCACAAGCGGTGCGAACATCGGTCATTCCTATATATATAAAGCCAAAGCTGACGTACCGCGGGGTTTACGATGAACGACTATCCTCTATAAAATAATAATACATACTATCTGTTATAAGTGCTGTATATTATTATATGTATCGTTACAATTATTCAATTAATGAAGAAAAGAGGGGCGCGGCGGGATTTGACTCTCTGTGTGTGTGTGTGTGTTTGTGTAGTATTATTATGCTATGGGATCATCATCTTGTATTATATAATAATATAGTGGGGTTGCTGTGATAAAATTACATGTCGGTTTAAGAAGTTTTTAGAAACGACAAAACAACAAATATCATCATCTCATACCACTTCCCCACCCCACCCCCTCCTCCCCTCGCTTTGATATTACACTTTCGCATTAAACAGTTGGCTGAAGGTGATCGATGAGCGAGGGAGAGAAAAATGAGTGCTAGGCAGGTACCACATTGGATTGCGTGTTATACTTAGCAATGACCATATACTAAGACTGCCTAACATTAATTTGTTATTAAATTTTTTTTTTTTTTATTTATTTATTTTTTATTTTATAAATAAGGGGCAAGAGTGAGAGTAGTTAGTTGAGCAGTATCGGTAATTATTGTGGGGTAGGGCAGGTTTGCCGATAATGGGATGATGATGGATAAGCGAAGGGTGCGGGGGTGGGGACAACGAAAGGGAAAAACAACAGATGGATTTTTGCTAATCATGCCACGTGCTCGAAATCCGCAGGCCTTGTTCGTCGGCCATCCCGACAAGCACCCGATCGTCATACTGAAAGACGTGCCGTACGTGGACATGCGCAGCCTCCTGGACTTCATGTATCGCGGTGAGGTGAGCGTCGACCAGGACAGGCTCACGGCCTTCCTGCGCGTCGCCGAGTCCCTGCGCATCAAGGGCCTGACCGAAGTCAACGAGGACAAGTGCGACCTGCCAAGCATCACCTCCTCGTTACTCGGCAATCAGAACGCAGTGCCGCCACCACCCCCCAATCTACACCGGATAAACCAGCTCGGCCAGCACCATCACATGCCCCAGAAAAGGTACGAGTCGTTGCCCCCGCGACGTTCGTAGCGAAAAAAGATAAAAAGAATGGAAAGTCACGCGCCGCTGTCGCCCGTAAGCGAGGTAGCGAACGGAACTTCATGGCGCTCCTCGAATTTTCCTCGCGCGTAGTTATATCTTTTTCTTTTTTCATTTTTTTATTTTACCACGGCTCCCTTCGCAATCTGGCCGTGAAATTCACCTCGGCAAACGAAACGATGGCTCCGCTCTGCTGCTCCTGCATACTCGGCTCGACACGCTGTGGCTGGGGCCGGGTCGGGGGCGGGCGCAATGGGCAGCGGCATTTTAGACCCCTTGCTCGATACAGCATTGAGGGAAGAAGGAACTTCATACGTGCCGAGCAATTTATCATCCTTGCAATTATAAAAGGCTGTGCTTATGAATTGAAAGCCGAATGTGCGAGCTCATTAATTGGTTCGTTAATTGCAGTGGTAGAAGGCTGATTAACGCGTTTGCTTGACTCAATGTTCAGTTCATTCATTTAGTTCCTTAAAAGATAATGGGCCGAGCGCGTTTTATCGACCAAACGTTATTTAATTCATCGTGTAGGAAAGAAGACGAAGAAGAAAAAGTCGAAAAAAAAAAAGGATCTTTACACGTTTGTTTAGTGCGCGTGCTCCCTTCATTGAGTTACAAAGTACCAATTGTCTCTATTCCCATTATCAAGAGTTCGGTATCTGTAAGTCGCGATAAAGCTCGCAATAATCGCTCGGTCAATTAACAACGCCAGTTCTCGCATCCCTTATTTATTTGTTTATTTATTTATTTGGCCAAACTAATGTCGCGTTAACGGCCATTGGATTAACGCGAACAATTAGCGTTAAAACAATTGTCAGCGATTTTTTTAATGTCGTCGTTACCGATAAACAACTGTTGAACAAACAACGTTTGAATCAAATTATTTTTTTTCTTTCTTAAAATCGCGCTAATAAATAATTTCGACGTATATGAACGAAAGAGTACGTAACGTTGAGCGACTCGAGTGAGGCATGCTGGGCATTTTTCCTCGGAAAACGTACGCAATCATAACGCTTTTTCTGTCAAAGAAATTTACGATTAAATAACGGGCCGCGTAAAGCGTTGAGAAATTACCTAGAAACTTAAAAAAAAAAAAAAATGTACGAATCCAAATAACAAGCCAAGATTTTGGGTAGGGCGGGAGGGGGGGAGGAGCTCGATCGGCATTATCGTCGTTTGTATTCTAACCAATGATTATCGATAATTCTCGATAACTTTAAATGATCTCCCACAATTGCAATAAGTGCAACGACGACAGCGACATGGAGAGCGACGATAACGATAGCCGTAATAAAGAGTAAAAGCCGAGGAAATGTCACGAAGGGAGATAGATGGTGGAACTAACTAAAGTGACATTTTCCATGGACAGGTACCACCACATGTCGAGCCACCCACTGCTAGGCTCGGCGCTCACGGCGCCCAAGCGGAAACGCGGCAGGCCGCGGAAGCTGAGCGGCTCCTCGGACACGCCGATAGACACGAGCCTCGGCCAGGAGCAGCAGTGTTCCGGCGCTGACCTCGTCCAGGGCTCGCCCGAGATGATGGAGATGAAGATGGGCCTCGACTTCCAGAGCGAAGCAGCGCAGAACAGCAGCGCCGGTAGCAACGCGTCGGCGGGCTCCAACGGCAGCAACGGGGCGACGAGCGGCAACGCGGCAAAGTCCTCCGCGAAGAAGGACGAGCCCACGGAGAACGGCACCGACCAAGCGGACGCGATGCTCCTCGTCAGAATCAAGGGCGAGCCCGAGCCAACGCCCAGCACGTCTGCCCAAGGTAAGAGTCCGCGCCGGCGAGTCTCCACTACTCTGCCGTTTCTGCCTTCCTTAAACGTCGACATTACGTATACACCGTACGTTACGGCACCGCACTCGATTCCGTTGAGGCGGTTGCTGCTATTGCTATTGCTTTGGCGGTGATTGGCGGCGGCGGTGGCGGTGGGGGGGGGGGGGTAGCAAAGCTGCATTTTCGACTCGGCGGTCGGGTCGAGCGAAGAATCCAACGGGCATCGACGTAAAAGTATTTCACCTCTTATCTGATTAATCGCCATGTAAACGGTTACTTTACACGGACGGACCCGTCCTGGCTCGTAAGGCGATCGACCTTCGAACATCCCATAATCGATGAGTCTGAATCGAGTGATCATCGACGTGATCGGGCAAATTGAAATGAGAGCACAAATTAAATCGTGTTTACCTACAGTCGAATGCTGACGTCGTTATCCTTACCCTAGCGCAAACGCCTTCGCGACGATTCTCTTAGGATACGAATGATATGGCTATTGCCGCGATTAACGACTTTAGTCTAATGTTGCCGCGTCGTCGGCCCTTAAATAAATAATACCGAGATATGCGTGTCGTCGTTGCTCTTGTTTGATGGATCGATGAAACGCGCGTGCGCGCTTAACCACAGGGGCATCGAGGAGTGTTTTATAACGATTTTCCTACGCATTTCAGCTAAGGACGAGTCATTCACGCGGCCGCTGAGTAGACAAGGGAGTGAAAGTTTTAAGCAAGGTAAGAGAGACCACGAAAGCCTTATCCTGCCTAATGATTCCACGCGATTTAGCGATTTCCTTATTTGTAATCAGTAACCAATAACAAGTTTTTCAAATGCATTGCTAATCCTTATACTGCAGGGGAATAATTTTTTGTTATCAAGTCATTCGTCAAGAAAATTTTAATGACGGATGATAAACGCATGATGACGAATCCATGCATACATCGCCAGTCTCGTTTAAAAAAAAAAAAAAAAAAAAATAGAGACTATGTTGTTGACATTTTAATTCAATTTTTTTGTCCAAAGGATGAGTGACGCCTACGTCAATTTGTTGACGATTTTATATTTATATGTTTTAACGGATTGTCATACGGTATTTTCCATACTTTTATTAATCAGTCGCCACTTTGACACGCCAATAGTTTATTCGGCTTCGACGTTGTCGAAAATCGTTCGAATAATATTTAATATATAAAGTGGCAGTTTGTGTTACACGGATGGACACGTTTTAAAATGTGAGCATGTGACATTAACGTGTGAGAAATCAATCGTTGCCGTGAAGTCGATCGAATAACTGTTATTAAAGTTTCAAATACGACTTTTAAAGAAGAATTATACAGCGATAATAATAGTTCTGGCAATGCTGCTTAACTCGCATCCTCCGATAAAGTGCATGAAACAGTGGAACATGAAACAGAAACTCTTTAAGTCACTCGACGAGCTCGATATTCTTAAAAATCAGTGATTTTTCACAATTTGAAAGATTACTCGATAAGAGAATATTATTACCGTTACACCGTTACTTTCATTGTGAAATTAAAAGCAAAGTGCGTCGAGGTGATGTGAAAATTGATAACTCGGTGAACGTGTGTCATATGTGTGTTCAATGCACACGTGTAGTGACTTATCGGGAGAACTTAAAACGCTGCAAGCAAACCTCCCATGCATGGTGTGTGAAATATGGCCCCCCTTACTTTTTTTTAGCCACGCTATATAAAACCACTCGAACATCGCGAGACATTTATTCGTTCCAATGCTTTATGTCGTTCAGCGTTGTCTTTTCTTATTTTATTATATTATTTTGTCATTGTTTTTCTAATCTCAATTACCGTTGCCTATATACGCTTTTTAATTTTTGTAAGGTTAGTAAAGTATTCGCTCTTCCCTCTCATCCATCATACTTCTCGTTCTCTCTCTCTCTCTCTCTCTATATCTCTCTCTCTCTCTCTCTCTCTCTCTCTCTCTCGGTCTCGGTCTCGTCTCATAATACAGCATACAGTAAACACTATTTTGAAAAAGAGTAAAACTTATTACATCATTTTTTTAAATTAATGTTTTTGTTTATTAACTTTTAGTCGCATTACGGCAATGTCAGTTTTTGTACATGTTTCAAACGCGATGTAGTAAAATTAAATTTCATCAAAACATTGTTATCTTAAAAAGTTTTCAATTGGTAAATCAATATGCTGAGGGAATTGAGATTGTTGAACTTTAAAGAAATTGAATTGCCATAAGTAAATATATAAAACATCTTCACACCACTTTACTTTCTGTTACTTACATATTCAAATCAACGTATTTCCAATTACTTTATTATAAGAAACTTATAAATACTTTAGTTTTATTTTATTAATAATAGGAAGCGAAAAGTAGGGTGAACGAGAGTTACGCGGAGAAAGAGAGAGAGAGAGAGAGTAAGAGAGAGAGCGAGTGATGGGGGGGGGGTGAGAAGAAGGAAAGAGAAAGAGAGAAATCTAATGAAAATAATAAGAAATAAATTTGATGAGAGTAAGACAATAAGCAAAAGACGAAAGAACAGCAGGTATAAAGAATTAAAAAATATAGACTTGTTATGGATGGAAATTGAAGTAAGTCAAATAAATAGTGAAGTTACTCCCTTGAATGCTGTAGTCTCCAAATAATTTAACCCACCATTCGTGTACTATACACGACATATATATAAAATCTAGAAATATTATATATGTAGCGATGGTATACGATTGTACAACAACAACAAAAACAAAAAAAACACCCATTTTATACTCACTTATTCGGCCAATGCGTAGCGCACCTTCGTTCTCTTAGCAAATTTCTAACGGACTTATATATTTGTATCACTTATATATTATATATATATATCATAATTATGTCTACAATAATTATTATTATTATTATTTTGTTATTATTTTTTTTTAAACAATATATTTTTTGTTTATCTTTATTGCATTCTCACTTTTCCCGCACAAGATATTATTTTATGTGTAATAAAGATAAAAAATTGAATGAAAGAATAAGAGATGAGAACGTGAGAAGATGAAAGAGTTAGAGAGAGAAAGAGAGAGAGAGAGAGATCGAGAGAGAGACAAAGAAGGAAAAGATATATAAAATGGTAAACGAATGTATGCGCTTCGCTGCCATTGGCCAATTTGGTAAAAGGAGGGGGTGGAGCCAGCTATGCGGTGCCTAAATTTTAAAAACGCTGGTTGTACATTGTGTGTACATACGTTTTACACACCTGTTTTTTTTTTGTTTTTTTTTTATTTAAATATATGTTTCTTTATTGTACTCGATTACGAATCGAAGTCTAATTTCGTATGAATTTTTCTTTTTTTTTATTTCTTTTATTTATTTTTTTTTTACAAATTTTTACGTTTATTCGGAAAGTTCAAATATGAATAATCGTGCTAATAAAAAGAAGAAAATATCTATATATATATTTTTTGTGTTTGTGTTTGTGTGTGTGTTTGTGCGTGCGCGCGCGCGCGCTCGTGCACACTATGAGTACACACATGTGAGTACAGACACGTGTATGCGGATGTATGCGTATGTATATATATATATATATATATGTATATGTTATATGTATATGTGTATATATATATACCTTTGTACATATGTATATGTATATGTATATGTGTATATATATATATATATATATATATATACCTTTGTACATATGTATATGTGTGTATAAGTGTAAATTTAAAACGATCGATAGACTGTCAGGGGAAGATGTCGAGAAATTTAAGAATTTCTATATTGGTCGGAAAAATTTAGGAGGTACGGAAAATGTATAGAGATAAACAAGGAAGAAATAAGAAAGAAAGGGAAAATATTAGTGTAAGAGACGTTCAAAGTGCAGAAATGCCTCTTATGTAAATCATCATTTGGTTTTTTACGCCGCAGATGGGGCTGTTCGAATTTCTATCATATAAAACACATGTGTATTATAAAAACAGAACATCAAGTGCATATTATACGTCGTGTATATATAAATTTTTATATATACGTATACACCAAAATAAATTAAGTTTGATAATAGAAAACGCAGTTTAAAAAAATAGTCATAAAAAACGTGAGTGCTCGAAGACCGAAGAATCGTTCTATGATATGTGTATATGTATATATATATATCTAGTGAACACGTGTTGTTATACTTTGTTCTCTTGCGCAGCAGGTGAGTTGAGAATTGAGTCAACTTTGAATTCTGACGTTACCTTTGCGCGGGGAAGCGAAGAACTAGGGAGGCCAGCCGTTCAATATGTAAAAACGTTCTTTTTGATGTTAAAAAAAGAAAGAAAGAAAAAACGAATATTTTCAACGAATTTCACTTTAAAAAAAAATACTACATTTTTATCAGAGCAGAATCTGATTTTTCATTATCTCGATGGACAAAGTCGATCGTCGTCTCGTGATTCGGTTTAATTCAACGGGCGTTGGAATGTATAATGTAAAGAACAAAATGAAAGCAAGCGTACGATGGGATTATTGAATTAATTAATTTTTTTACTGTTATTATTAATTTCAAAACCTTTTTTAATTTGATTTATATCGCGGTCATTTTTGTTTCTTAAGTGTGATTGTGTGTGTCTCTCTGCACTTTTGCTTTATTAGCATACGTAGACAATTTCTCCTATTTATTTACTTTATTTTGCCCACGGGTTTATTAAAGTTTTGTCATACCTCTGAACATATATAGTGAAACTTATCCAAAGGCTTTTCATTGTTAAAAACACTTATTGACGATTGAGAATTATCACATTTCAAATTGCTATGTTAGACACTTTATCATTAGCCTTTATTGTTTAATGATTTCTTTGCGCCATTAAAATGAAATAGTTTACATTGTAGATGAAAAGAAGCAAAGAAATTATTTTAAGGCTGATATTATTATTATTACTACTATTATTATTATTATTATTATTATTATTATTATTATTATTATTATTATTATTATTATTATCATTATTATTATTATCATCATTATTATTATTATCATCATTATTATCATTATTATTATTATCATTTGCTATTATTTGCTATTATTTGCTATTATTGATATTATTGCTATTGTTACCGTTATTGCTATTATTGCTATTATTATTATCATTATTATTATTATTATTATTATTATTATTATTATTATTGTTGTTGTTATTGTTATTAAATAATATTTTTTATTTGCAAAGTTATAAAAGTTTCTTTCACTTTTAATGATTATTAAATTCAACTACATTTGCTTGGAAGCGCGAAAAATGCCAATAAATAATAATTGACAGACTAGAATATGAAATTTTCTACGATATTGCTCAATCAAGGTAACGCTTTCTTTGTTTTTCACATCCTCTTAAAATGTGTTTTGCCGAGATGTTGCACTTCGGCATCGGCGTAATGATTTATTATTATAACAAACTCTTCAAAAAAAGATTCTCAAAAATGAATTGTAATTCTCGACTTCTCTTTTTATTCCGACAACGTTCAAGGGAGGGTGGGGTGGGGTGGGAGGGTAAAGCATTATTAGCTAGTCAGTTGATTGGTTTTCGCATGGCCTTTATAAGGGGATAAAAGTCAAGATAATACTTTTATAAATTTATCCTGCAAATAATATGAGAAACGATCATGTTTGTACAGATATATTAGACAGTCAATACGATAAAGGATACAAGTAAATTGAGAAAGCGACCAATAGAGAGGATGTGCGAGAAAGAGAGCAGAAATTGAATGGAAAATAAGCCAA